TAATCAATCCCTATGGACTTATAGCCAGCATTCATTTTATAATGGGAACATCTTCAGCAGTTATCTCTCTTTGCCAATGCATTCTAAAGGAATCTACCCCACCACCCCAGCTCCAAACCAGGGGACATAGAGAACCAAACTTAGCATCAAAATATGTCTTTCTGCCTACTGAACTACCAAACAAAATTTGTACTTGATTGGGCAACCATAAAAAAGTTACCCATTCATTCTTATGCATAGTTAAGGAATCTACCCCAACACCCCAGCTCCAAACCAGAAGACATTGAGAACCAAACTTGGCATCAAAATATGTATTTCTGCCTATTGAACTTCCAGACCAAATTCGAACTTGATCGGGCAACCATAAAAAAACCATAAGCCAACACCTTTTCTTAAGGTTGATTGTCAAACACTGCTTCATCCCATAGAAAATCCAATGCCATTAACAGATTCTTTACAGACATCTCTTGCATTAATGATGAACCTGATCTACCACCCCAGGGACCAGCCCCCCCCCCCACCTTATTACAGAAATGAAGTCTTAGAACAGTTACAATTCATCAATATAAGTAAGCCGTCAGGTCCGGGTGTTGTTTCACCTCGGATTTTAAAATATACTACACGGTCAATATACAAACCAAGTACAAAATTATTTAACATATCACTTGACACTGGAACACTTCCTAATATTTGGAAAATTGTCCAGGTTACTCCTGTTTATAAAAATAAAGCAAATGCAGATAATGCCAATAAAAATAGACCAATATCACTATCAGTAACATCTGTTGTTTGCAAATTATTAGAAAAAATTTTGTCAAGTATCAACACAACTATATATCTGAAAATTTAACAATTAATATTTGTTTATTTGCTGATGATACTTCACTCTACATTATTGTTGACAATAATGTTTTCAGTTCTGCAAACTCATGATAAGACAAATGATTTAGAGAGTTGACTCAGTGTTCAAAACAATGGTAGATGATTTTAACCCAAAAAACAGTAAATGTAATTTTTTTCTCATCCAAATGTTAAATTTGGCTAAATGGCCCAATGATTGAACCAACATTTAGGACTAAATTTTCAGTGTGATGCCGACTGGAATTTGCACATACAAATTACTTATGAAAAAGCATGTAAACGTTTAAATGTTCTACGAATGTTAAAACATTCTCCTTGTGGAGATGCATTAATAACAAGAGGCCCATGGGCCTTATAGGTCACCTGAGCATTATTCAACAACTTTCCAGTGATTAAATTTGTTTTAAGCCAGATGCTATAGCATTTACAATTTGGTAATCATAACTATACACTAAGCAGTTCCTTAGTTTGGTTACTTAATACCCATAGGCAGGGTAGGGGAACAAAAAATGCAATTCAACAAATCAGTAATATTCAGCAAAAATCAGTAGTGCCGCTACCACACAGGAATCCTTGACTCTTAGGCTTTGATCCACACATTGCACAATTTTTGGAAAGGCATCCTTGCTTTTCAAAAAAATTTGATTAATACCAAGGAGCACATTTCAAACAATTCATTCATTTTCAGTATATAAGTATAGCCCCCCCCCCCCCCTCTATGGTACAACTGACCCTGGGGCCTTGAAATTTACAATTCTTGAAGATTTAGTCCCTTGCTCATAACTATATAGGTAGTTCATTTGCTTAAAACCTAGGAACAAAGAACAAAATATTCAAAGATTTAATGTTTTTTCACTATACATGTATAATCAATAAGCCCCCCCCCCCAACACCAGAATCCCTGACCCTGGGGCCATAAAATAAAAAATTTTGTTACATGCAATATTGCTTAAATCAAAACTATGTACTTAGTTAGTTTATTTAATACCCAGAAGCAGAGAAATGGATTTTCAAAGAAATAATGTATTTTCACTATATAATCAATAGAGCCCCGCCCTAACACCAGAACCCCTGACCCTGGGGCCATAAAATTCACAATTTTGGTAGAGGCACTCTTGTTCATCATAACTATGTACTTAGTTAGTTTATTTAATACCCAGAAGCAGAGAAGAAGATTTTTAAAGAAATAATGCATTTTCACTATATAATCAATATAGCCCCACCCTAGCACTAGAACCCCTGACCCCAGGGCCATGAATTTCAAAATTTTGGTAAAAGACTCAATGCTGATTACAATCATGCATAGAGTTTGACTACTTGATGTCCAGGTGTAAAGAAGAAGATTTTTAAAGATTGCATTAATTTTAGTGGTTTTGGCCCCACCCCCCAGGCCCCAGGGGGGCAGGGATCATGAAATTCACAATTTTTGTTCCCCTTCACCCATAGATGCTTTGTGCCAAATTTGGTTGAAATTGGTTCAGTGGTTGCAGAGAAGAAGCTAAAAATGTTCAAAAGTTTACGACCGATTGACGACGAACGACGAACGACGTACGACGGACGACGACGGACGAAAACAGATAGCAATAGGTCACCTGAGTGACTCAGGTGACCTAAAAACATATATGTCATTTATCAAACCAGTTGTAGAATATGGTGATGTTGTTTGGGATAATTGTAATGAAAAGGAATAATCTTTATAGGAAGAAGTTCAAATTGCTGCTGCAAGAATTAGTTTAGAAATGAGAGTGAACTCATAAAGAGCACTTTTATAAGAAAAATTTGGGTTGAATACATTGTCTGACTGAAGGAAAAGTACTTGAATTAATATTATTTTACAAAATAGTGTATGGAATAACACCCACAATACCTTCAAGATCTTTTAAGACCTTGCATTTCACCTCAAACTCAATACTCATTAAGAAACCATAATGGTCTTACTTTTCTTATTCCTCAAACTTTACAAAATAGTGTATGGAATAACACCCACAATACCTTCAAGATCTTTTAAGACCTTGCATTTCACCTCAAACTCAATACTCATTAAGAAACCATAATGGTCTTACTTTTCTTATTCCTCAAACTAGGACCACATCATATATGAATAATTTTCTTCCATCTACAATTAAACTATGTAATAATTTACCATACCATATTAGAAGTTTACCAACACTATCTTTTTTTCACTAATGCCATTAAAAAGACTCATTTTAACACCCAGTAAGCTTTTTAATCATGGAAACCGTAGTCAAAATATTATTCATTGTCAGTTAAGAAATAATGCCAGTAGTTTAGTCATTTACAGAAAGATTACATAAGTGATTGTTAAAAATGTGAAAACTGTGGTTTTCATACAGAAAATACATATCATTTTTCCTTTAAATGCCAACATTATGCTGAACAAAGAAATACTCTTTTGAATTGTATATCTAGTATAGACCTGCAACATCCTGTATCCCTAAATATTTTTTTATTTGGTGATAGTAATATTTCTTATGCAAAAAATATGAAATTGTTTGAAATTGTTTGATTTTGTTCATAAATATATATCACAAACCAAAAGTTTCATAAATAAAGTGAAACTATGTAATATTTATTCCAGTTCTTGCTTAAATCAAATATACACTTATTGTACGTTCATAAATTGATGTAATTCTAATTTTTTAATTTTTTTTCTCTCATTTCCACAAAAACCAGTATTCAATTGTTGTTTTTTTTTCACTTCACTCTTATTTATTTTTTTTAAATATTTTTTTTTCTCAAAAACTCTATTTAATTTTATGGTAGTTATATATAACTTATTGGTAATATATAAACCTGTTACTTTATGATTATTAATTAACCTTGTATATGTGGAGAGCCAGGAGAGGGCTTATATTGTCTATGCCTGCTGCCAAATCCGTTTATGTAATTGTTACATAATAAAACATGTTCAAATCAAAGGTCTTCCTATAAAGAATACATATGCAAAGAACAAATGACTTATTTTCTACTGTTCAAAAGATATGACAAAAGTAAAATTTCTGTGTAAAAATGGATCATCTGAACTCAAGATCATGGTAAAAAGGTCAAATTTAGTGGCATCCAGAGAAAGGTCTTGTCAAAGGAAAAACACATGTTAAATATGAAAATCATAGCTCCACTAAATCAAAATTTATGGGGAAGGATAAAGTTTATCCAGACAAGAAGACAGACATACAACTAGACAGACAAACAGACAGACGGACGGACATGAAAAAAGCTTCCTTTACGGGGACATAAATATGACTATTTTTTTCTATGAAAATATTGCTATATTGCAAGACTTTGTTTTTAAAAATTAAAAAGATATCGAAAAAAGAAAAACGATTATAAAAAGCTTAAATTTTATACTATCTTTGATAGAAATCACGCTTTTATTTGCGACAGGCAATTGCAATGGTTCGTGGACTTAACTCTTTCCTCCCAAAATGACATTGATGCAATTTTAAAGCAAAGCAATAACAACAAACGTGATGAAAACAAAAGGTTACGGTTTAACACACCCCCTACAGTATTTTTATAACTCTGAGAAAGAGGGAACATCAAAGTTTGAAAAAAGCAAGACTCTACAGGAGTAAATTTCTCTCCAAAACTAACAATGAAGTAAAAGCTATTATCTTAATAGGAAGATTTTATTGGGGTAAGTATATGCCAGAGCAATAAAAACACTTCTAGTCTCCTGGGATGTTTATCTACCAGATGATGGAGATGGATTGATGTTATATTACCACTGACCACTTCAAAATTCAAAGGAAAATCAAAACATCGCCTTGTAAAATTACAGATTTCTAAAGATGGAGATATCTTATATCATTAAAGATGCAATTTGATTAAAATTATTCCATACTTTCTGTATTGAAAATATCAAAAATATGAAAATCAATAGTATTATTTAATATATATAGATGTATTTAAAATAATTTTCAAATGAGACGCTTCATAAAAAATAAATAATTACACAAGTCATTACATCTCATTTTCCCTTCATTTCAAGTATCTAGTGAAAGGGAGAAGGTTGAACAAATCAATGAAGAGCATAAATGTATTTTAAGTATATCCTTTTAAAAAATATATAGAAGAAATTGAATAGTTTCATGTACAATCCTTTTTGTGTTTTACAGATAAGATGTTTCAGTTTTATGAGGATGATCCCTCTAAAATTAAGTTTCTACGTCTAACTGAACGTATTCGAGAATCATTGAAAGAATGTGATTTACCAATAATGAAACATCATTTACTATGTCTGAGTATGTATCGTTCTTAATCTCTTGAATTTTCATAAATTAGATTGTATAAACAGAACTGGTCATGAACTCAATAAATGCTTTTATCTTTGATTATCATTCCACAAAGTAACATGTTCTTAAACTAAAATATATATATCTTCATTCGTAGATCTTCCAAGATATGGGATAGAAGAATCAGCCAAAATTCTTAATCTGTTGGACATCTTCAGCTTTCCTTTGTCTCATAATTATTTTAGCAGTTCTGATGTTGTATTTATGCAGCTTCTACTAAGATGTTTAGGAAGAGAGGACCTGGAAGAAATGTGTATACAATATGCCACTGAGGAGAGTGAGGCTTTGTGTTACTATGCAGAACGTACAAAAACAGGTATATGTACTTAATGTGTGAAAGCAAAGTTATCTTAAAATCCCAATTAATTATATACATGTAGCTCATTGTTGCAAGTTTAAGTGCTTATTCTATTTTATAAAAATATCGCGGTTCTCTCGATCTTATGAACGATTTCCTAATCGTTTACAAAAGGCGCCGAATTATTTTAGCCGATAACATGTCACTGTACCATATTTCGGTTCGCTTACAAGATGGCCCTCAAAATACTGTTATCTTTTGCAGATCAGTTTTGCCTGACGCCACGCGCAATAAAATGCAGTTATTTATGATATTTTTCATAATAATAATTCAGATTCAACAATTAAATATCAAGTTAAACAAATTAATCAATATTTCTTATACTCTTGACTGCAAAACATTTAGTTTACACAGAAAATGCATTCAAACACCCAACACAAAACATTGATCTTACAAGATACCAGATATTGTATGTACATTACAGTTATTATAATGAAAACCATAAAATTCAATTGTTATATTTAATGTAGGACAAAACACCTTTGTATTCTATTTTAACCAATTATCAAGTACCAGAGAAAAAAGAATTATATTACTATTTTGACAACAATGAATGATCCTTGTAATACAATAATAAGCTTTGGCATGTTTGTATCAAATTTTGTAAAAAAAATCGGAGGATCCTATATATTGGTCACTTGGGGTCATACATTTTGGTCTGTGTTTGTGTTATTTAAGTGCAATAAACAAGCATGTAACAATCTATTACAAAATGCAGTGTAACTTTTGTTCCATAAATAGTAGATGGCTGATATTTGGACACATATATACGGAGTATCCATTCTTTAAGTACTACAAGGTTCAAGGTCATATCAAGAGGTCAAAGGTCAAATATTGTGACGTCATCTACTGAATCTTTTAGTTTTTGAGATCATCTACTGAATCTTTTAGTTTTTTTTGCCATTAAAACTTTTTTAATCGCCAAAATATCTGAAACCACTGGTTCAATTTTCTTAAGTTTTACACATTTTAGTTTAGGGCCAATTTGAATTATTCTGCTGATTTTTTGTAAAAATGGAATAATACATTTTCTCTTAAGAACATTAAAATTGCCGGATATTTACATGTGAATTTTCAATTCCGATGCTATGTATGTTTAATTTTAACATAATATCATTCTCCAATTTTCCAGTATCAATTTGACTTACTGATTTAAAGTAACAAAAACTTTTTTAAAAGTATTACACACATTTTGAAATAGATCAATTAATAACTCTAAAATAAGGCTTATTCTCAAGTCGAATGTCTGATTTCACAGTCTTCTTACAGGGGTCTAATAGGCCATATTTCAGACAATGTGGGCAAAAAATGTGTGATTGAATTTCTTTCATATCATACATGAAAAGAGATTTTGTATCTTGGAACAAAATAGCAAAGTTTCAGAAAAATTGAATTTAAGGAAAACTTTGACTATCTATTGTGTCCTACCTTAATACTTACTCAATAATAATGCAAAATACTCAATAAATACTCATTTTATATTTATTTCTCAATCTTCTATCAACCATAATAATCTTTACTATCACAAGAGAATGAAGTGTTTACTTCCTTCATTTTTTATTTCTTTGTTAGGCTTTATACGATCATATCCATGTTTCATTTTTACTTCGTTTCTTATAGCTCCAGGATCAGTTAATTTCTCGTCTACAAAAAGGATACTACAAAAATACCGCGTCAAATGCCACATGCACATTATCATCGACTCTTTTCCTCAGATTGTTCTATTAAGGTGGCTCATTACACCACTTTTTGATGACGTACTACACAAAGAAATGAACCTCCATTGTGTCGACCGAATTGCTCAAGGAACGAGTTGAATAGATACCTGTATAATATGACCCTGACCTTTAAAACGCTTTAAAAATAGATGAAACATGCGGTATTGTAAACAGTGAAAACAAAGTAACAGATTCATTATGCATAAACCAAGAAAAATTGCTTTTTGGCAGAAACAAAAGAAAGCAACAGTCAAATCTTCGTTAAGCAGGCAATGTCAATTTCATAGCCATGCATGCAGTGAACTCGATCAATCACTGACATGTATGAATGGAAGAAATTCAAGTTAAAATCTACAACCTTGTTGAAATTAAAATTTTATTTTGTTGCGCTATTTATTGTGTTAAAGTTAATTAATATATTTGTTTTATTGATTTAAATGTATACTCTGGCAATTTAAAGCTTTATTCTGAATTTGAGATGTAATGTCAAACGTTCCATAGTTTTTTGAGTCTTGGCTAATTAGGAAAGATAACTCTTGAAAGTGGACTTTTTATACTAAATATTTTTTAAATTGAATTTTTCATTTCCTTTAAACTTTCCTCATTCAATTTGACACATGTAATTCATTAAAATACATAAATTGTCTCTTCAGAACACATTTTTTAAATGTTTTATGCATAGATTAAAAAGATAATGACATTAATTGTTTTCTAGGAGGAAATTATTTTTTCAAATAAAATTATTATTAGGTATTATGAGGTATTTGTGTGTTCTTGTCTTCAGAAGATGCCCATCATTTGACACTGAAAGTTCTGAAATTCTGTTAATAATAAACCTGAAATAAAAGATTTCACTAAAATGAAACAAAAACTAAAAAAAAAATTTAAAAAAAATTTATGATATCAATACCCCTATCTGGAAATTTGACATCTACATTATAAAAGGTGCTGTTTTGACATCTAAAATAAACTATTGATGTTATGAGCCACCTTAAATGAGTGCAAAAACTAAGAATTTGGAAATAAATAAAGTTTTTTCTTGACGCTTGATTTTTAAGCTTAAGTGTTTTTAATTGCATTTTTTAAAATCATTTTTAAATAACACATTGTATGTGGACAGCCAACATTAATACAATTAATTTGATAATTTTACTTGCTATTCTTTTTCACGGATATACCAAAAGTGGTCTAGTACAATCATTAACAAACTCCCTCCAACTGGTTAATGGGACATCCCTTTTTGATTCAGTCTGTTCTCCAGCTTTTCTTTAAATATTACTAAATAATGTAGTTAAAAGGTAAGCTTATTCAAAACAGAACTTAGATTAAAATTTTGAGCCTTCTTTGTGTATTGACGTTCCCTCGTAGTATTATCGGATTTTTTTTTTATTAGGAGAAAATTTGATTTTAAAAACAGATTGTTCTTTAATTGCTTTAAAGTGTGATAATATGAAGAAGTGCAAATTTTGTACAGACAGCCACAGATTTGATGAAATTAAATAGACGCACAAAAAAATTACTTGCAACGAATTATATGATCTTACCATTGTCTCATTATTACGCTTAATTTTTTTTTATTATTATTTTGTAGAAAATGGATGCACACATGTGCAATTTCACATTTCTAAAAATATTAATAGCTATCCCCGGAAAAATGCAGAGAGATTAAGAGAGACTGTTGCTGAACTAGTTGAGTGTCCTAAACACAGTATTATATTGGACGGAATTCTCCGTTCAAGTAGCTTCAACTTAGTGTTTCAAATGAAGAGGGAATACGTGTCAAAACTGATAAATATGCAGCCGCAAAAGTTAGCTGTACTTGGTAGATACGCAGTGGACAAAATAATTGTTGGTCAGCAGACGATTCCTATAGACTCAAATGAAACATGCACAGGTAAGTATAATTTAGTAATTGATACAAATACAGACACCTACTATCATTCATCTTAAACACACATCTAGTCTTCAACTGATTGATTTTTTTTCATTTTAATATGACGGTTTAGAAAAAAACGTTTTATTTTCACTATGGACAATTAATGAAAAGGTATGACAATGTTCAAATCTTGCGGGATTTCTTGTTCAGAAAAAAACTAGGCATCCTTACGCAGCTATGATTAGACTGTCCAAAGGCTTAAATTGCATGAAAAACAATAATTTTTATGAACTAGATTTTAACTTTAATATGCAATCCCAGTCAACTAGTGATAAGAGTTTCATCAAGTATAATATAATAAAGCATTTTGTTGATGTCACATGACTTTGTTGATCACGTGACGGACATTTATGATATTCTTAATTCTGCACCAAAATCGCATCGGAACAAGTGCAAACACAAAAAAATTATTGAGAAAAGTTTATTACATCGATCAATTTCTCGTGATCTCAGGTACATATAAAATGCTGGGGGCAAGTCTGATTTTTTTCCTTTATAAAATATTTTACGAGAAATTCAACTTATCAACATCAGAAAGGTATTTTCCATTCTGTATCGCGTTTTATTCGAAAATGGATAAACTACATACAGTCACCTAGCAAATTCAGTTAGTTGACACATTGCTCATTTAGATTCACACAGAATATCCTTAATTTATCCTTGTTACTCACTTGTGCCAGTCGAATGTAAACATGATTCATAAATTCTAAATCTGTCTTCAGATGTGTAAGGGGAGCGGTTTAGATTTACTTTTTCGCTTTTGTGTGAATATAAGTATGTCAGACAAGTAAAAATGAATAGGGACAAGTAAATTTCAAATGTGCAACATTATACAGTACACTTGAGCTAAAAAAAAAAAAACCAAAACAATCGCGACGCTTGAATTAAGGTAGGATTCTTCCCATATTTCTTATATTTAAAAATTAAAGAAATTTTCACAGAATTAAGAAGACAGTATCAGGAAGTGATAGTATCAGTGAAATTAAATTTGGCCATTTTGTATTAGAGGCAAGGTCAGGTCAAGGTCATTATCTTTTTCCTCGACAAAAAAAATAAAAATTACTGTTGCCAATCATGGGATACCTACTTCTATTTCAAAAGTTTAAATATTGATCTTTTCGCATAAAAACATATTAATATATCGGGTCTATAGCATGATCTCATCAAATTTACATAAATAATTTAACTTAACTGAATATTGGCTAATCCGAATGTTCTCTGTTTTTCTTAATTTTTTTAGTATATATTAGTTATTTTCTATGCTTCCTATATTTACCTTTTTCTTATTTTCACCTATTATAAAGTAGTCTTACAAATGTATAAAATGATTAAAAAAAAGTTTTGATCGTTTACAAAGAGAGAAAAATACTTTTTTATAGATTTTCTGCTCTGATCTGCACTTTGATTGATTGATTGATTATATACTAATTAACGTCCCACTCCAGAATATTTCACTGATATGGAGACGTCACCATTGCCGGTGAAGGGCTGCAAATTTGGGCCTACGCTCGGCACTCAGGGCCATTGAGCAGGGAGGGATCTTTATCGTGCCAAACCTGCTGTGACACGGGGCCTCGGTTTATACGGTCTCATCCGAAGGACCGTCCCATTTAGTCGCCTTTTACGACAAGCAAGGGGGTACTGAAGACCTATTCTAACCCGTATCCCCACGGGACGATCTGCACTTTGATAGGAAGCGTTTAAAAGTTAACAAAGTTCTAGTTTTTTTGGAAAATCATATTCATTTGATATATTTTGAAAGTTAAGTCCGTCATTGTTAATTTAACTTACATTTGAAAATTTTTCCAAGTCTTCAATTGTGTAAACATTATAACTAAATTCATTTTTCTATTATAATTTTGAGACGAAGAAAAGAAGATATTTTCATTCGCCAAAATTCCGCCAAAATATAGTCCCTGCTAGTTTTTAAACGCAGTTCTCCATTTCTATTTAAAGATGTACAATTGTGACGAGGAACGAAAAATATGGGTTTTTTTAAAATTCCTTACATCTCCATATATAAGACATATAAGCAAAGCTACTTTGAATGTTTCATCTAGTCAGAAACCAGAGAAGAATTCTACAACGTAAAAAAAACCAACATGCTATTTGAAAAAAATGAAAAATAATATGACACTTTCCCCGTCATCTAAGCTCAAGTATGCAGTGACTTTACGTCATATTCTATTATTACGTCATGTCTAGGTAGTTCAGAGAAGTTACTACAGTTTGAATAGTTCGATATTTTACCGACAGCGTACATCCAGACATGTCTTAGACACTTATTAGAACCCGACACTATTAATGAAGAATTTAGTCGATTGCTTACTTATATTTCTTGATTCCAATAGAAGGTCATTAAAACCAACAAGTTATTTTATAAACACCGAGAATTAATTAACAAAGTTTCATTTGAAGGCCCTTACAATTTAAATTATTGAGATACAGCTATGAATTTTCAAAAGGTGTTCACGGTTACCTACTTTTTGGTAAATGTACTACAAAACGAAAATGCCTGAATTAACAATTTGATGATTAAAATCCAAATAGTGTCTTAAATATTTAAATATACATGTAGCCGTAAAATTTCAAAAGGTGACCAACTTTCTGTTTGCGTATTTCAAGTAACAAAGATACATCAGATGAGAGGCTTTGATGATTCTAAGCCAATACGCAGAGGTAATAAGGAAGCATACAAAAAATTTACCTTGACTACATCAATGCTTCATTATGACGTCATAGTAGGCGAGATGACGTCAATTGTAGAACACAAGTTTTTGTAATTTTGATATTTAGAGATGTTATAAATAACTGTAGAAAATGAATTAAAACATGTAAACATTAACAAAAATAAAATGCTTTTATTTTGTTATACTGTGTCTGTCATTTTGATTAAAATCTACCACAGATGGCGTCGTATGTGTACATCTACTAACTTGGGAATTTGTCTTGTTGTGTAAAGAGAATTTGATTAAGACGGCATTTACAAAGATAGGTAAAATGGGGTTTAAAAGGAAATATCGTGAATATTATGTGAAATTCATATAGAGTTCAGATAATTAAACAGGTATGCTAATTTATTTTATCGATCATATTCTCTTTCGAAGACAATCAGCTATATACGTATCCCAGTCAGCCTTTCCTCTGTCATTCGTGACAAATTTATAGTGGGATTCTAGTAGCTTATTTTAGGCAAAATAGATGTTTTTCAACTATATTATTTACTCAAGACATTATTAAACTCAGGGGTATTGTTGTTCTGCTAGCTTTTTTAGTTAATAGAAGTCACGTGTTGCCGTGGCGGTGGTGCACGTCTTCGTGTTAGACACTCTTTAATCTATATGCAATAGATAATAATATTTTATGTTTATCATACCTTTTGGTAATTTATCAAACTTAATTTTCTTCGAAAAGTCTAGCTTTCCCGAGAAATGACTTATATGCTTCCTAAACATGCCCGCGTAAGTATTTGAAAATTATCAAATTTAAAAATAAGGCCATCGTGCCCTACTTTCCAAGTGATGTACTCTGAGGATCCATGATGCATCAACTAACAAAATTTGCTGATTCTTAGACAATTAGTATCTGAAATATTTTTATATACGCATAACATTTCAAATGAAGGTCACAGAGAACTACTTTTTAGACGACATACACCGAAGACCCAATAGACATTAATTGACGATGTGTGGTATTTCTAAGCCAATTTGTACCTGAAATATTACAAAAAGCCATAACTTTTCAGAAGTAGGTAACAGAGAAATACTTTTTAATTGATTCTTTCCAAGGACCTAAGATATCTCTTGGATATTAATTTGATATTTATAAGCCAATTATAAGTACATGGAAATTTTAAATATATCTAAATATTTATTTCAAAGGTAAATCACAAGGATCTACTTTTTAGTTAATATTCTCCGAAGACCAAAGATACATCAATGAACAAAGTTTGATGATTTCTAGCCAATTAGTACTAAAATATTTAAAGACAGCTATGGAAAGTAAATGAAATATTTCTCATTACTGTGCTAAAGGATGTGCAAAAGTCAAAGTGTTCAAAACAGATATAATAATGGGCAGCGAGACAGACAAATCGACAAACCGATCACATTGTACATATAACATTTTTAAGAGAAAGGCCGGGGACTTAAATATTGGGAAAATATTTTATATAACCCAGAAATCTTAGAGATACATTGATTTCACTATAATTTCAAATGTTAATTTTCTTTCACATATGCATCTCAAATGTTAAAGACTTGCATAGTCACAAGCCTACAAATACAATGAAATTTTTATTTTTTGTATACATACGTTTGAAAATAAAGCATTTGTCAGAAAATCGCCCTGCAAAAATTATCAATTATATGAGAGTAAGCCTACAATTTTGATTGACTAAGATCTAGCATTGTGGAAAAATATCATGTTATTTTCAGCTGCTTGCTATCTTCCTGGTGAACATTACAATTTATTTATTGGATTGGTAAAATTATTTTGGAAAGTTATTTCACTTACACTGTACTGTACAACTATATATTCAAGAAGTGGTGTAAATCAGATGTGGATACTAAAAACTTCTAAAGAACTTTTGGACAATTTGAAATCACAAGACTTTACAAAAATCGACAGCTTAAAAACTTACGACTTTTCAACTTTATACACAACAATTCCCCACGACAAATTAAAATCGAGGCTTTTTGATATCTTTGACAGCTGCTTCTTCAACAAAAATGGAACTCGTAAGTTTACTTACCTCGTCATTGGTCATTTGAAAAATTATTTTGTTAAAACAGATTCTGATTGCACACATAAGTACTCTGAAGTTGACATCAAAAAGATGCTTGAGTTTCTGATTGACAATATCTATGTGGTTTTTGGAGACCAGGTATTCCAACAATCTATTGGAATACCCATGGGTACAAATTGCGCTCCGTTATTAGCAGACTTATTTTTATATT